TAACGTGTGAGAGCTGGATTTGGATGGTATAATGTTCTGGATTTCAACCAGCGCTCCTCGTCTCGGCGTCTATACCCAAGGAGACGAGCAGCAACCGGAATTACAGTCTAGACGGGCTTGGAGACGTGAGGCATGATAACACACACACTCACACTCACTGTCTTTCACTTTTTCACCACAGTCTGTCATCCTGAGAGGAAGCCAACATGACAGATTGAGCTTATTAGGAAGTAACGAGTAGATGCATGGAGAGGGGGAAACTACTTGAAAGTTAATAACAGGTGTTCACGCTCTCAGGTAGTTGTCCTCAAACTGACCACAGCGTTTAAGCAGAGAGGATATATGTGGAAAGGGTGGATCTGCAGTTTTGAGGTGAGCTTGATTTTCTCCTGACTCTTAAAGTGCATTCAGTTTGAGCATTATTTATTTAGCTGATACTCAGAGTGCAGAAAAAAATGCACTCGTTTAAAAACAAGGAATTTGTTGTAGAAGGCTCCCCCACACGGACGTTTCCTCTTCCTATAACGATGTCTTAATTCAACATTTAAACTAGGGTTAACTTTAGTATAAGGTATCTTCTTGACTCTTATTCTCAATTTCAGATTGATCATTTCTGTAAATTGTGAGACTTCACATCGTTGAGGTGACATAAACATGACATTTTGAGTTGTCAACATTGGGTGTGTTTACCTGCACTTGAGTTGCTCAGTTTAGAGTGGGATTTTTTATTATCATGTTTTTGTGTTTGTGGATCAAAACATCAAATCCTGATTTCAGAAACCTTGATAAGCTCTCTTGATAAGCCCGATTTTGAGAAACCAGATTTTGCTACCTGTTGAACTCTGAAAGAAACCAGGACACTGTGGCATCTATACCCCTTACCCCACTTAACAGCTGCTGACTACCTGTGTAGGCGTGGCCTCAGGCAAGTGACATAGCAGCAAAACAAACATGGCGGCGGCAACAAGAGTGTCTTATTTCTGTAGCAACAGTGACAGGATGACACCAGTCAGAGCTGAGGACATGTTGTATATTTGCTATCCCTCTGGGGCACTGGAGACTTAGCGGTTAGTCCACATGCCCAATGAATGGAGGCTGTAGACCTCCAAGCGGGCAGTCCGGGTTGAATCCAGCCTGTGGCTCCTTCCCCACATGTCCTTCCCCAATCTCTCTCCAATGTTCGACTCCGACCTTTGTCCTGTCTCTCCAATAAAGGCATAAAAAGAAAAAAAGAAAAAAAGCTAAAATATATATATATATATATATATATATATATATATGCGCTGATGCTCTCTTCTCCTGTTGCTGGAAATAAGGAAATATCTGCAACATGTTGGTGTTTAATACTGCTGTGCCTGCAATAATCCACAGTGGTCTCATTTTTCCAAGACATTAAATTTGCAGCGGTTTGTGTTGGTAAATATCAACACAAAAAGGCGCCTGCACAAATAAGAAGCAGTGATCAGAAAGCAGGATTCTAGTATTTATCATGTTTATAGGGATATGAATCACCAGGTTTCTCTGTGTGCATGTACACACCAGATCCTGAATATGATCAGGACCAGAATAAGGCTCATAACCAGGATACTCAGGTCCATGTAAACACACTCATTTAGACTGACTTCGAATAGCACTGACAATGAATTATAAGTGAGCATGACTATTTGTTTTGACAGAAAGATATTCAATGAGAACACATCAGTTAATTGTTTTAAATCAAAAAACGAGATCACAGAAAGTGTGACGGGTTCTTGTTAACGTCGTCGCCCATTCTCTGAATGCAGGACCTCGAGCACGCTCAGTGAAGTCATACAATAAGGGAATTAATATCTGTAAAAACAAGGTCTTTGCAAAGTGACTAACACATCATCTCAGAGCCCTTAGTGTATGTGTGCAGGGTTTAGTACGGGCACAAAGAACTCCCCCTAAAGACTGAAGCAGACCTTCAGTTCTCTAAACAACTGAACCAGAGAGGGGGGTCAGCAGAACGGCCGTGTGAGTCACACATCTTAAGCAACGAGGTACGTGGATGTGGAAATGGAGAAGTTAACACCACTTTGGATGACTGACCTGAGGACAACTCAAGGTTTCAGTTGCAGTCACTGAAAATAATCGCAGCAGGGCAGTGTGACCGGTCCAGTGAGGGGATTTAAACTTTTTATATGAGGCTGACTTATTTAGAGGTTCATGAGGTTTCTTCCCAAACAGTGCTAATGTGGGCGACAGTATCTCAGTCTGTATGACTATAGGTGTACCTGACAGTAATCATATAAGTGTTAACATTTTTTATCTAAATGCTTTAATCACTATGATTGAAAGATGTTCTTTTATAATAGCCAAATAAGTAGAACTATTTTTTGACGGGGAGGGATTGAGTTGTGTTGCCATAGAATGAAGAGACCTGATTTTTGGCTTGCATCTCCAACCCAATGTTGGGTCAAATCAACCCAACCTATAACCCAGCAGCACTAACCCAGCATTTGAGTTATGATAATAACCCAGCATTTTTAAGTGTGTGGGTTTGGAGATATGTCGCTATCTGTAAATCTTAATATAACCACATAGTAACAGAGCTCTCATGTCTTGTAGGTTCCTCTGGATTGTTGGTGGTGACGGCTGCTGCTATGTAGAAGCCCAGGAGGTCTTGTCCCGGCAGCAGAGGCCAGGCTCTCCAGTAGACGGAGCTCCCCCAACCTTCAGCAAGGTGATCTTGCACTACTACCACCAGAAGTCCATGAGGTCCAGCCACCACCATTGGACTGTGTCGTCACCACAACCACGCCGTCCTCATTCATGCACGGCCTGCTCTGACCTTCACCTCAACAGCGAGGAAGTGTGAACAACAGGAACGCCAGGGAGAAATCTTTTCTGCTATTTTCCCAGATGTTCTTTAGTAAAGTGTCTCCAGATAACACTTGTTATGAATCGGTGCTATACAAATAATGATTGATTGATTGATGGAGCCGGATGGTCGTTGGTTCAAGTCCCAGAGTGGACCAAAGTATGGACGTTGGTCTGGTTGCTGAAGAGGTGCCAGGTCACTTCCTGAGTACTGCAGGGCGCCCTTGAGCAATGCACTGAACCCCCAGCTCTGTCTGACCCCCTTTGTAGCAGCCCCCGCTCTCTGACATCTCTGCCCTAATGCATGTGTGTGTAATTCAGGTCTATGAGTGTGAGAAACATGTCTCTCAATAACAGAGTGTAAAAACCAAAATTTCCAGTCTGTGATTATTAAAATATGTTTTTTAAAATATGTGTACATGTTGTTTTTCTTACCAATGACATGTAGTGTAAACACCAACACACATAGTGACTTGTAGTCATGAGGTAAAGATTTGCACTGTGGGCTTCATTCAGCTTCTCTCGGCCTTAACAAGCTGGAGACTAACTTCATTTGTGTGATTATTTCATTCTAATGTGTTTAGTTTGCAGCTAATGCTACTCATTGGCCTCGGGGTGGAGTCAACACAAAGTTACTCAGCCGTCAAAAGACTGACAAGAGGCAGACAGAAAAACTACTCAGCCATTAAAAGACTGACAAGAGGCCGACAGAAAAACATTTACAAACCGCATCCTCAGAAAGAAGCAGGCAGACATCTTCGTTTCTTCCTTTTCAACATTTCTGGATGTAGTCAGAAGAGAGGGGAGACGTTTGGGGAATGCCTTTCATGACTTTATGTTCACTCTAAGTCATCCAATAATCCTCCAGCAGACATGGAACATACTTCACATACAGAAAGGCCCGGTCAGGACGGGAGGAACAACTCATCATAAATCCTCTTGGAAACAAAAGAACTTGAATCCGACCCCGGGTCAACAAAAGCAAACATGTAGTCTCGTAAATGTCACACCTGCCTCCAGCTACAACTGGTGTCTCAGTAAAAAAACAAACTTGAAAGGTCTTTGGGCCTCATTCATTAAATCAAAGCGAGCCAGCTGTGTCTGCTAATAAAACGACAAATCCAAGATGGAGGATATGTTCTGGATTCTCTGTTTAAAGAGTTTTATAATACGGGTTTATTTTTTGTGCAGGACTGCAGCTGATGATTATTTAGCCCATTTCTTAAACTATGGAGTATCTTCCTCAATTAGAGTCCTCGTTTACACCCCCTACTGTTTACATTTGAGAATGACAAAGAAACATAAAGCCCAGTGTATAAGACAAACTTTTAATGTTCTTTCATTTAAAACATGGCTGCGTCTTATAAACCAGAATAAAATGCTCAGAGAGGTATTTTTATGGCGCTATAATCTATCTGAAGCTCAGCCGTCACCATCGCCAACTGCACGCAGATCAGGTTGGCGGCAGAGGCACTGCTTGTCGACGGGCAAGGCAGGCAACTGCTTGGGGACCCGGACAAGTAAGGGGCCCCTGAGGGCTCACAAATCCACAGCAGCTACCCAAAATGTGCAAATTTTGCAATGATAGTAGGAAACCTCCCTAAGGGGGCCCCATTTAAAAGCATTCACTTTCATTGCCTTGCAATTGCCTTGTGAAAACCAGAATTTGTCAATGGAAGTCAAGCAAGAAAAATTAATAGGAATTATCCGTCTACAGGAGGGAAAAATGAAAAAGGAAAACGGGGAAGAGGAGTAAGCGTCGGGACAATGACAGAGATTATGGTGATAAATGTGGGTTGAAGGGCCCCCACTAATTATTTGCCTGGGGCCCAAACAGACTCTAGAATCGCCACTGGTTGGCGGCGAAACATCTTTTCTCCCCCATGAGATCGTAATCATGCATTTTGAGAAAACAGTGTTTTTCTGTTCAGTAAATACAGCATGTGGAGCGCTTTGAATGAAAAGACTCCTCAGTTACAGACAGTACTAGAGAGCCCCCCCAAAAACAGACTCTGTCTTATATATCAGTGAAACTTTTAGTTATTTGGATCACAATCTGAAGGTAGAAAGACATTTGGCTCGTGGATAAAAATACATCCATCTCTTTCTGATTCCTCAGTTTTTCCCCAAAATGTAAAATAAAAACATTGCAGTCGTACCTGAGGCATCCAGAGTGTTCTTGAAGACTGTGGTCCACTCGGCGTCGCGGGGCTTGGAGTCCTCGTTGGGCTCGTACTCCCAGCCCGAGTGTGGGATGATGACCTCGTTGGTCAGGGTCTGCAGGCCGTGGTTGATGATCACCATCTTCAGGGGCTCGTAGGACGACAGATTCCACAGAGTCCCTGAACAGAGCAGAGGAAGGAGGAGGGGGAATAAAAGTCAAATAAGAGGATCGAGATCAGGGTGAAGTGTGTTAGGATTATTGAGAGGAGGATACAAGAGGAATAACATAAGAGAAATAAGACGAGCGCAATGCAGCGAGAGAGCTATATTTATATATTTTGGGGGCAGGAGTTAAGTGAAGGGGAAAGAAGGGATTTGCAGAAAGACTGGAGCTGAGACTGATGCAATCTAACGACAGCTGTAAAGCAGGAAAACATACTGTACTCGCAATCAAAACAATATGGGCAGTAAAGCACAAAGCGCTGCATCGCTGGTTCATTAGACGAGAGTGATATCAACGGGCTTTATTGCGCTGTGTACAGACATCACAGTGTTATGGCTTTTATTACGATCCCATGAGAGCACAGCTGACAGACCACCACTACACTGTAATCAATACTGAGTTTACAGAAGACAACGCATCACCTTAATGCTTCTGTAATCATCTCATGATATTGCTTCAGGACAGTTCAGTAACCGTAACTCGTTCATCTTAGACAATTCTCGAGCGGTATCAGTGACGGTGTGAGGCGGCACACAGACGTCGTGTTTCCGCCACCTCCTCTTTGTTTTACAGACAATCAAAGCATTTTTTCTCTCCACCTGTTTGTCTCTGTGAATGTGAAGCTCAGTCTGAAGGGACTTGGGTTGGGAACCAGAGGGCCAAAGGTTCAAGTCCTGCAGTGTGTGGACCAAATCTGGAAATTGGTCTGCCAGGATGTCCTTGAGCAAAGCAAACCTGGGACTTGAACCGGCGGCCCTCTACCACACCCGCAGGCTCAGGAGCGCTGGCTGTGGGAAGCCCCCCCTCGCTCTGACGTCGCTCCATCAGTGCATGTCCACAGGATCCTGTTTGTGCGTGTAGCATGTTCAAAATTGAATTTCCCCCTTGCATTGATATATAAGTATTTCTTCTTCTTCTTCTTCTTCTTCTTCTTCTTCTTCTTCTTCTTCTTCTTCTTCTTCTTCTTCTTCTTCTTCTTCTTCTGCTCAAACTCAAACTCCTGACGGTTACCAACACAGACAAGGGCAGTTAGACAAAAAGCCGAGAGGAACAACGTTTTTAGCAGCAGAGCCACTCCTCAAATATCAAAGGCTGCTTTAAGGCATCATGGAGCTCTCTGTAAGTGAGGCAGACGACGCTTGAAAGGAGAAGAAAACTTTAAGAAACAAAGAAATAACTTTAGAGTCCATGTTTGACAGGACAGAGATTCTGTTTTCATACATTTTTTATAAGCAAACTCTGTGACTTTGATCACTTGTTATCGCTCTCCTTTTTATTCTCTTTTTTAATTCAGACATTTAGCAGATAATCAAATGGAGCAGTTAGAAGCAAATGACATGTAAGTGCAAAGTTGTGCACATAAGAAGTGTGTTATGTTCTTTTAATGGAGCTCAGTTTGAATGTTCCTTTATCTGTACAGACGACTATCACTGGTCTGGATTACTTTGATGAAGAGGAACATTTTAAGGAAAGTTCTGGATTGACTGGGAGGCTTGTTCTAACAGTGTTTTCACGTTAGGGACCAGGGCCCAGATTTATGTGTACTTGAGTACAATCTGCGGGAGATGTGAACGCAACCGTGCTAAAACCAGGACGTGGACCGTTTTTCTAAACGTGTCTCAAAAACTGCTGTGGCCCGTTTCATCCTCTGAGCTGCACGGTAGACGAGGAATTAGTAAGAGGGTCGCTGCTGTCTTGCAAAAATATCCATAGTTAGCGGGACTGACTCAGCCTGCGAGTGGTTGCCATGGTTGCGTCTTCTTTTTTCTGCTTTTTGGCGGATTTGCAAATAAACTATGTGCATACTGCCACCTGCTGTATCAGACTGTGTACAGAACAATGTTACTATTATGAAAACAGAGCAGCGGGGGAGAGGGGGAGGGGAAGGGGTGGGGGGAGTAATCGAGCTCAGGTACGGTACAAAAAAATCGTGCCTAATATGAAAACGACCCTGAGGTGATTTATGGAGGTTCGTCTTTTCTCCTCAGAAGGTCCAGGAGCTTTTGAATCTCAAAGATATGTAAATCAAGTCTGAGTGTTAAAAGTCTGATTTCAGATATGACCCCGAGAAGATAAGGCTCCTCACTGGCTCAACGGTCATCACACTCACAAATGCTGTCTGTGGCGGTCCACACGCTCAATCAACAAGGCCAAAATATAAAAGCACTGGATTCTCATTACCTCATCTGACATGAGAGCCTCAATCTGACTTCCCAACTCCCCCAAACTCTCCAACACCTGCAGGAGACAAAATCCTGCTCCAAAAAAACAACGAGCAGCAGCTGTAGTACTTCCATTAAACCTACAAATGTCATTCATGTGTGTACTTTGTATATACAAATGCACTACCACAGTGCACACACACACAAACACACACACACACACACACACACACACACACACACACACATGTAAAGACAAACACAGCCCTGTGGTTCCCTCTCGCTCTACAATGACAGACTATTAGCAGCGCAATGGAACCGTCACACTTCCTCGCCCTTTTCTTTCAAACTGTTTCTGTACATTTTCCAGATGGTCAATATTTCCTCTGTGAAATCATGCTCTCTGCACTGGGGGGGGGGGGGGGGGGCATGGAGTCTCAGCAGACAGACCCAGCCTAAAAATAAACCCAGTCCTTCTGGTGTGGTTTGCCTGGAGAAAACTGGTTTCCTTCCCCGAGACGTTGACATGAGACAAGAAAAAAAAAAAAGTCATTAGATAAATCTCAGTAGTGAGTTTTGGTGATTTTCTGAGGTTACTTCCTGAACATTTCACTTCAGTCTCTAATAACCTATAATAATACACTGTACCTTATTTCTCTCTGTGGTTACAGCCGGTGACTAGACTGCCTTCCTGTGCGTCACAGACTAGCAGACTAGCAGCTTCTCACTGGGAGGCTATGAGAGGTTTGAGCCGAGGTGTGGCTCCGCTTTGGTTCACCATAACATACGAGTGTGATCGAGGATGATGCACACACATACAAAAGACATCTTTGTAAATGGACTTGAGCGTGTATAGTGCTTTCTGACACATCGGACATGTGGTTGCAGGAGCTGGGGATCGGACCCCTGACCTTCCGATTGAGAGACGAGCGACTCTACCAACTGAGTCACATTTATCTGTCAATAACAATCAATAATCCTGCTCTCTTTGTTCAAACAGCCTCTGGATTTTCATTTAAAATTACACCAATTATTAACTGTTAATGCTGGTCGTGCTCCTCTCCGCCATCTGCCATGAGAGAACTCAAACTCCACTTTCCTCTAGCTGAAGATTTGCATCCTAATATGCACGATGGTACACTTTGCATAATGCATTTTGGGATACAATGAGTCAACTACACAGGGTGTGATTTGGAATTTGGATGGATATACTTATTGTTCTCTACAGTTTTAATCATGTAGATGAAGTACTTTGTGTTGTCAGGTTTGTTTTCTTTAATTAGTGGAGTTTTATTTATCACATAAAACTGACGACTGCTAATGGAAAAAGGCGACACACTAAATCTGGTGCGACCATTGTTTTCCATTTTTCTCTGCGTTAATGATCACTGTCATCACACACAGTCCCCTGTAAAAACAAATAATTAAAAATGACATTTTAAACATGGCTTACTCACTACATAGTGCTCTGTAGTGAGCACTGTGTGATTTCAAAAGTAGCCATTACTTCTTCTTTGGTGCATATTTTTCACTCTGCTTTAACTACAGGAAGATGAGATGGAGCATCAGCATCCAGACATGAATCACATTCATAACAAACGTGCTGTCATGGTGTGTGTATCCTGATATGATGATAGCGGGCTCATGTTCATGGCTGCCTGCCTGCCTGACATCTTGATTAGCTCCACTGCTGTGTCATTAGCATCAGCGTTACTTGTGACACCCAGCAGTCCAAACATGAGGAACAGAGTGAGCTACAGTAAGACAAACTTCTGACTGAGGGAAGTAAGTCTTCAGTATGAGAACTACAGGAGAATGTGCCACAAAAGTTATAAAACAAACTTTTTTTGTAGCTAAATTTGAACATGATGTAAAAGCCTGTTGTGTGTGGGATTAGTGTGCCTCTGATTTATACTCAGCATGTTGAACATTATAGTTTTATAGGTTCAACAGCTCATACACAACATTGGAAAAGGCCATCTTGAAGACCCTCAGCCCCCTCTGCATTCAGAGGTTAGACTTCTGCTGACAGGGAGGAGGTTCACTGTATGTTAAGAGGGCCAAATCTAACAGATACCCGAGGTGATATGTCCCATGAGGAGTTGGGTTTTTAAATAATCTGTAAGCATTGTTGCCTGGACACTTTTACTATGGACTGTTCTATCTTGTGTCTCTTATCTCATTCACATCCATCATGAGGATATCCATGGTAGTTATGTGTTAGGGAACAGTAAGGTTCTTCTTCTTCGTCGTCCTTATCTTTCTGTTTTGTAAATTACTTTGGACTAGTTTTTCATGGGGAGAATAGAGAATGGCTTTAATCTGTGTTTATTCTTGGTTGTCCGACAGTCTTAAACACATCATTCCTAAAGGTGCGCACAGAGTGGTGCTGTGTCGTCGTTAAATTACATAATAAGACTCAGGTGAAGTGGCAGCTGGGAGAGGACCCGTATGGACGCAGACTTGGAAGCTACCTGACAGCCGACCCACAACCATGAACTTGTGTTTGAAACCAGCCGTATCTTCTTATGTGATCCAACTACCTGAACTCATAGAAGAAGCCTGAGCTCGTCGCTCATCACAAAGCTGCCCGCTGCGATCAGGCCCACTCAGGTTAGGGCTAGCTTTTTATATATATGTACCAGTATGTAAACCTAATTGCCCCTCAGGGTCAATAAAGGTTTTCCAATCCAATCCAAAAATTGTTTTAAATCTATTTCTGCAAAGAAAGGAAGGAGAAAAAAGGCATTTTGCAAATACAATCAAGCTTTGTTTCACCTCTTGTGATTCACAG